TGTTTTTGTGTTATCAACGTTGTTGGGGACAGATCCGGCGTACACTGGTCCGGTCATCATACCGCACCCGTCGGTGTTGGAGGGACCAAACACGGCCTACGAGACAAAGCGGCTCCAAAACGGCGGTCTGTTTCTGCGTATTGACATGCCCGGAGTCCCCAGGGAGAATTTCACGGTGGAGGTGGAAGGCGGCATCGTCACCGTCATCGGTCTTGCTCCTCCGGCGATGTATGACTCGAGCGGCCGTTATTACGGAGGCAAGGTGGCCGTCTTGCCGAGAGGCTATGACAACCGTCTGATCAGAAAGATCACCAAGCACGGTGTGCTCCGCCTCATCTTCCCTTCCCCTTAATTTTCACTCTACTTAATAATGCTTAATTTAATTATTATGGAACTTATATTTTAATCAACCAATTAATATCGTTGCACTTGAGCAATTATATCTGCTTTTGGACTTGTAATGGACTTTATATCTGCTTTTGGACTTGTGGATATTTCAACATCCATATGATGAATATTTAGTATCGAAAATGATATATATGTGTCGAGAATTAGTAAATTACGTTCCTTTTCCATTATTTTCAAAAAATCGGCTTGTCAAACAGGTTTTCGATAACTTGATTGCTTTTTCAAGTTATATATTTTAAACGTGAATATAATTAATTGAATCGTTACCTAAGAGCATGATTATAGATAATAAATATGTTTGGGTAAATATATGAATTTTATAATATTATTTGTATTGGAATTGATGAAGAGAGAGAACGAAAAGAGAGAGATGTTGTATTACCCCGCTAATTATGGGTAATATAGATTCTAAAATTAGAAACTTAAATATGGGATAGGTAAATATATGAATTTTATAATATTAAAAACTTACTATATTTACTCATATTACCCACCTATAATCATGTCCTAATAATTATGTTGTTAATTTTTGAAATTACACACTATTTACTTCACAAAAATGGATACAAGAAATTTTGAATTATTACACACTTGTTACTTGACGAAAATGGAATACAAGAAATTTTGAATTACACACGCTATTTACGGTAAACTGATAAATAAAAAATACAAGAAAATGGAGCCAAATTAAAAATAAGAGGAAAAAAAAGGAAAGAAGGACGCTTATATGCAATATAAAATCGACACGTGCCCTCTAGCTAGCGTTTTGTCGTTTCAACCTGACACACTCACACACCTCCGTCTTCCTCCCATAATAAAGATACCAAAAACCCTAAAGCAAACCCAGAGACCTAATATAGAGAGAGAAACACACATAGAAATCGCTCTCTCTCTTATCAATCTTTCATGAAATCTCAGTCACAGAAAAAGAAGAAAACTTTGAGTCGAATCATCATGGTTGTCCCTCTCGGCTCCCTTCCTTCATCACGCGGTATGTTCA